GGCGCGAGCGAGGCTGGCAGGCGAGAGGACTCACTTACGTCCTGCGAAGAATGGCAGGCCTTCACTTAGACGAGCCCCTCGCAGGCGTCGACATGGACCGACCCCGTGCGCAGAAAGCGGCGGGCAGGCATCGTCGCCCTCGAGATCGTTAGCTTAGGGCGCAGGCAGAACGTAAGTCGAGAGAGCACGTCGGCTTCAGCTGCGACAGACGATGTGTTAGAAGACGCGTCGATGACGTCGCGCGTCGTGTAGACGCCCAGGACGGGATCGGCATCTTGGAGCTGCTCCTTCGTGCAGACGGTCCTCGCTGGGGTATGTTATGACAGAGACGGCCGAAGACGTGGGCGTTGACCATGAAATACCCGGTCTGCCCTGCGCTCTCTCACCCTGACCTCCGATGTCCCGTGCCGCCTCGGTCATGCAAGGCAGCGGGCGCCGCGGCGCCGTGGCGCCAATCGCGTCTTGTCTCCGCCCACCACGTTCGCCGTGACTACCGGTACTGAGCCGTCCTGGGAACCGCCCAGACACTGCGCAGGAGCATGAAGGCGATACGAGGTGCGTCCCAGGGCCGGTCTCCCCGCGGTGCCGCTTACCGCTTCTCACCATCCAGGCGTGCTTCTCACCTGGTTTGTGCGATCGTCCGGCGCGCATATCACAACTCAAACCGTCTATCTGTGCCAGTGATTCGGCCGTGAAGCAGATTCTGCTCACGCTGAACGAGAAGGAGAATCTTATTATCGAGGATTTGGATGACTTTCATGTCGTGATCAAGGCCGATGAGGAATATCGTGTGAGGCGCGAACTCGAGGCGGAGGTACGTCCAATCTACATTTGCGGCCCCTGCGGTGATGCTGACACTATCCACAGCTCGAGAAGAACACTTACAGCTTGGAGTAGTCGCTGTTCTTACGCGTTTCCGTCGGACGAGTCCGTGATGTACGTATCCCCGGTCTACGCCCTCACTTCGTAATACGATGCTATATGACGGCGCTGAACGAGCATCGGCGCACAAGAACGGTACCCTTCAACCTTAGTGGAAAAATCCCCCACACGTCAAGACGCATAGTCGTGCAAATACTCAGTGGCGCACATCCACATCAAGCTCCAGTCGGCACAATCCTTACTGGATGATTCAAGCACCCTCTGGGCTCGGTTGTGACGCCGTCCTCGGAGCCTTGCTCAAATACACGGAACGCGCCAGGCACGACTGCCCGCTGCGCAAAACCAATCCCGATACGAATCCAGAACGCCTCCAACCTCATCGCATTGGTGAAGGCTTCCTCGACCCGGGGCCGGCTTCGAGTCTACGAGGACGCACGATCTGGTTTATGTCGTGTCACTGTATGCGCGCGATATATGCCGCGGTATACTCCGACATCGGATGTCGCATTGTTCAGGAATTGGTGCTGTGGTCGGGATGGTCGGTGCACAAGGTACGTCATGCAGTCCCAGATGAGCGCGGATGGACGCGGTTTGCTTTGCAGATATCTGTGGGTAAAATACGTAGTATCCTTGTGACGGATATTTCTACGGTTCGTCGTAGCGCAGCGAAACGTCTACACACCATCAATCCTTCTCAAGCCCCGTTCCCACATCCGCCCACTCATCCACTACCTTTTTCAACTTGTCCGCCCGCGCTTTCACATCCACCAAGCAGTCGCTGCCCAAGAATAACCACAAGGGCGGCTTCCCCTTGCCCGCGGCTTTCCCCTCGCCTTTCACTGTATCCATGAGCGCGTCCATGGCCTTCACGGGGTCTCCCTGGATCGGCATGTTCTTTCGGTCCTCGACGCGTTTACGCAGCACCTCGCGCGCGCGATCATAGTCTGCGATGGGCGTGCCGACGAGGGGGAGCGCTAGACCGGTGTCGAATGCGCCCGGGACGACCACGGTGACGCGAATGTTGAACTCTGCTACCTCCGCCGAGAGCGTTTCGCCGTACGCTGTGGCAACCATGAGCGTCCGGGGGTAATTTGGGGTGCGGGATAAACGTACAGTGTACGGCAGCTTTTGACGCGCAATAGGCGGCTGCAATGAAGCTCAGAGTTTGCCTCGTATCGTTGATGCATGTACAATTGGCGACTCACCAGGACCCTAGTGTAGCGGCTCGCTCAGATCAACAACTCCATAAGGTGGCGAAGTAACTCACCAGAAATTCGTTGCGGTACCCTGATCTGCTGCCTATGATGACGACTGTGCCTTCCCGCCGCTCGCGCATGTACGGAAGGACAGCGTCCGTCACGGCGATAGTTCCCCCGTAGTTCGTCTTCATCACCATCATCATGAGGTCAAGGCTAAGGCATCCCGTCTCGATTCAGCATGCTGCAGAGGCTTCATCTTCTGCTTGCTCACCCTAGTTCCTCGCTTGGGCCGACACCACCGCCAGTCCCTGCGTTGTTCACAACTACGTCGATACGACCGAAGCGACCGATCGCAGTCTTTACAACATCCTGTATGACAGATGATGGAGACGTGACATCAAGCTCTAGCACCTGGATGCGCTTCAGATCGGTGTTAGGATCCGAGAGCAGAGGATCAAAGCGGCTGAGGGTCCGAGCGGTGGCCACAACGCTGTCCCCGCGAGCGAGAATTCGTTTTGTCAGGGTGAGCCCAAATCCGGTAGAGGCACCTGTCGGGGTGTTTACGTATACGCGAGGACAAGAAAAGGCGAGGACCTACCGGTAATGAACCACACGAGCTGTTTCGACATGTTGCGTCTAGTGGACGATTGGTCAAGGGCTAGACGGGGACGCTCGAGGCGCTGCACGGATTCCTAAGCTTATATATGCGCAATGGTTAGCACACTATAAGTAACGGTACTCCTCGTATCGGACATCTAATGATCCATATCAGAAGAAGTTACGTCGATGCCGGGTGTTTGATGTTCGTATTGCCCGTGACGATTATCCACGTGGTTCGAAGGGCGCGAGTGGGAACGAACGGCGGGCGAGAGGCTGACCTCCAGCAAGATACGCACCGTAGGCAAGGCTGACAGAACGAACTTACGGCAAGGTCTAAAGCGCCAGCAAGAAGTAACGATAGTGTCGACAACAAGGACAGCGTGCCACAGCAGCACTATGAGAGGTTCAACAGCTGAGAGATCCTCGTCGCCACGTCCGAAGACGAGAGGCCCTCGACCTCTACATGCTTCTCCTGCCCCTGCTCTGCATGTAGACCGAACTTAGCGTGTAATACGCGCGTGTAACGGTTTATCCAGACGCACCAAACCGCGCAAATATCCTTGCGGGAGTTCCCTTCGCCTGACGGATAAGAATGGGGAGGTCCGGGTTGTGCTGCTTGAGCGTCGGGTAGTGGGAGGTGATGAATTGCCTGCGAGGGGTTGGTGCTTGCCCCGTACGCTGGAATTGTGAGGCTCACCGAGTGCCCGCCGACGGCGCGCCCGTCTGGCAGCAGAGAATACGGATTTCCCTGACCGCAGGAGAGATGGCTTTCGCAAAGGTCGACATGGTGGCCGAAGTCAAGGAGATGGGCGTGTCCGGCAAGCCGCCGTGAATATCGTGCCCAATTTAGGATGCATGACATAATTTTGAAGAGTTTGTAACCCAGTTTAGGACACAATACGTAATCTTGTTGTGTTGCTATGCCCAAAGGTGGACCGATAACCCCGTGGGTTGTTGAACACAACGCGACAACCGCGCTGTTCCTGGCGCTCTCTTTCGCCCCCCTTCACCGTCGCCGACAGCGACCACGCCGCCATGGACGACGAGCAACGCCGCCAGGATGACTGGGCCAAAGACCGCAAACACCGTCTCCCTACCTTCACCGAGGTCCTCTCGCGCCGGACACGCCCGCCAGTGGATCTTTTCATGTTCTAGTGAGTTGCCAGGCTACCGAAACATACCGTGCACCTCATGTCCGTGTCGTGATCGACTACGCTAGCCTCTTCCTGCAACGTGAAGGCGCAGAAGACATCCTAGACTTCTGGCTGGACGTGCAACAGCACGAGAACCTGTGCCGCGCCTACTTCAAGGACGTCCGTAAGTCGGGGCGGACCATCCGCGAAGATTGGCCGGAGTACTGGGACTACGCGCGCAGGCGAGGGTCTATCTACGGCACAGTAGTAGGTCTTAATCCTCATACGGGCACCAAGCGGAGCACTGCAAGCACGGGCGAGATGTTCTCCGACCAAGACAGGCAGAATCTCGCCGCCACAAGCGACGAGAAGGCAGCACGCAGTCCCAGCCCCCGAATGCGGTCCACCTCTCCAGGAGGCATCACTGCTGTTGGAACGACGGAGCCACCCCGCTCTACGACCCCATTCTCACTGTCCGGACGTACACCTACGCTCTTCAAACGTGCCTCGCGCGCCCCGACCATCATTCCCCGCTCGCAGGCGATCACCCGGTTGGACCTCATCGCCTCGGCCGAGCGCATCTACTACCGCTACCTGTCCCCAGCAGCGAATACGCCCGGCTCGAATGAGTCCCACGAGATCTACCTCCCGCCTGCGCTACGCATCCACACGTTCCCGCTGAGCAGCACGCATGAGCCCAAGTCGCAGAACGAGATCGCGCTCATGGCGCAGATTCCCGACATGTTCCACATGCAAAAGGAGTACTGTTACCGCGCCATGGAGCAGGACGCCTTCCCGCGGTTCCTCCGGGCGAAAGCGTTTGGAAATCTCACGCCCGTGTCAGCACTCGTGCGCCTCATCGCTGGCCTCATCATTCTGTGGGTCGGGTTGGCAGTCGGCTTTTCCTTGATCTTCCTGGACGTTCAGCCTAAATCCAAGCGATTCTTCGTGAGCAGCTTCTCTTCGCGTCCCCTATAACGCCGACTTCTAACGAAATGACGTTGCACAGCTTTTCATACCCTATACTCTCGCCATTCTCTTCCTCATCTCCCATCAGTACGAACTCGACCCCGTGCTGGTGTTCCTCGGCCAGTCCGAGTCGACGCCATTCCGCACACTCGGCATCCGCGAGCCCTATGTCAAGAAGCTCCTACTGGGGCGCGCGATCTGGGTCACTGTCCTCGTCGCCGCGTGCTCCGTCGCGCTCACGATGATCTTCTGGGCCGTCCCCGGACACAGGCTGTGACCGGACCCGGACCCTTTCCCCTACTTGGATGTTGATGTTGCGTTGCATTACGACGATTTATGTTCTCCTCTGGCTGTGGACCGCGTGGCGTGGCATCGGCGTTGGCGTTGTAGACTCGAGGGTACGCTGGCATATCTTGACTTTTCTCCTATTTCTCTTGTCCTATTCTTCCTTTGCATCATTATTGCTCTTATCCCAGTTTCCGCCGCGTTCCGCATACCTTATACCCTTCTTCCTAAACCCGCTGTCGCTCGTTTGCATCACTCCTGCCCTGTCTTCCTTCCCCCCTCCCCCCTACAGAACAGAATTCCCTACCACCCGCCCTCCTGTGAACCCTCATTCCTCCCGCCCCCGTCCTCGTCCGCCCGAAGCCCCGTCGCTCGATCCCCCCGAGGTGGATATATTTGACTTATGCCCAGATCGCGCGTGTATGCTAGCAGTGATACCCATATCAAGCTCGAGAGGCATCCGTCGGTCTGTACATGAAGCGAAGCGGAGCGATGAAGTCCTGCCGAGTCCCCGTACGACTCAGACTGCCTATGTAGGTACGTGCCGTACGTACCGTTCCTGTGCCAGCATTTTCTTTACATGTCTAATATTGGTTCCAGCAGGCTTAGCGTTGTTGTATCCGTTATCGTGCGGTGCTGTTTGCAGTACTAGTGATCTTACACCCACACGCGACTACTGGCCTGCTAAGTCGCTTCGCAAGTTAGCGAGGGCCATGCTATTACTACGCACACCTACTGCGACGCGCGCGTGATTTTGATTCATAATCCATGCATGGCACGGTTGTGTATGCTACCAGAGGCACCCATAAGCGCATACAACGACGCATTCACGAAACGTGGTCTTTGTAGCGGTGCGATGAATAATAGCGGTGCTGACCGCGGACACCACATGTTTGACGTTGTACCATTGGAAAAGCAACAAAGCTACGCACGCTTGCAAACAAACTATGGACAGGTATAGTACAAGATCCCCGATATCCCAGGATAAATATCGTGTGCAACAAAACAGCGAGACCACACCACCCGATTACGCCCACGGATTGTCCTCCGCGTCGATGATGATCTGCACATTCGCAGGCGGTGTTTCCGCCCGCACAACGGCTACCTCTTCCGCCGCATGCTGCTCGAGCTCCGTCACGTCGTCCACATCTGCGTCTTCCCCAACCCCGAATACCTCCCGCCCGTCCTCCGAGTGTGGTGAAGGCGTGGCGCGCTCGACCTCGACCTCGCCTTGCCTCATTTCTCCATCCGCTTCGACCTCGTAGCCACGGCGGTACACGCGATGCAGCGCGCTCCCGCCACGCACCGCGGGCTCGCCCTTCCGCCGCTCCCGTGTCATCTCCTCCTGGCCTGCATTCGGGTCCTCCACTACCAGATCGACCGCGTCCGGCGGCAACACCGGGCGTTCCCCTGGGGGCTTCGGTGACGGCGGCGGGCCATTCCTGGAGGACGACGGCGTCTGCGGAGACCCAGAGTTGGTGCGGGATACCGGTTGTATGTACGTTGCGCGCGGGGACTGCCGGGCTTTGGGAGACTGCACAGGTGATGACCGCGCGCTGGTGTAGCGGAGCTGGACTTCGTGGGGACCACGCGCGGAGGAAAGCCGCTCCGTCTCCTTGTCGATGACGACCTGGTCTGACGAAACGCGCACCGCTGGGTTCTTGCCCTTGCCCAACACCGGCCCTGAGTGGACCGAATCGAGCCGCGGCCGTTCCGACGTATCGACCGCGCCGTACGTGTTGCGATGCCCCCCACCGATAGGTGAGTACCAGGCGCTGTGCTCGTCGCGCAGGATCCGCTCCTCCTCGATCCACATCGTCTTGCGGGCGAGCTCCGAGCTCACGTCGACACACGGGTAGTTGTAGTCGCCGAAGAGGTACTGCTTGCTATGCGCGAAGAGCTCCTCGTCCATGTCGTCGATCTCGAACGGAAGCTCGTAACCCTCCTCTGCCAGGGGGTCACCCGTGGCGAACAAGGAGAAGCCCTCGTCGGGCGTGAGCAGATCTGGGGCGGTGTGTACGACGTCTGAGGCCTGCGTTCCGAGAAGCGGCGCGTACACCTCCTCGGTCTGGTCCGGTCCCGCAACACGCTCGACAGTCCTATTGACCCGGCGCTCGAATTTGGTGGATGGACGAGACGCCGTGGCCTGCTGAGGAAGCCAGTACTTGCGCCTCCCGCCTTGGCTATACCGGAGACCCGCCCGTATCCGCCTGTCTCGTCCCGCGCCCTGGTGGATCTGCCCTTCACTCGGCTCGAATTCGCGGTAGTCCATGCCTTCGCCGTGCAGAGTGGTCTTGACGTCCTCGACCACGTCCTTCAGGCCGAAGGCATCGCGGAACGCATAAGGGAACGGTAGTCTGGCGACGTAAGCAGTATGCTTGTCGACATAGTCGCGGGTCGCGAACGCATACAGGTGCGCAATGGCGAACAGCGGCATCTCGAAACAGATGAGAGTGTCTGTGAGCCCGAGAGAGATGTGCTCGGTGTCGGTATATGGCCCGAGTTTGGTGATCGCCCCACCGGCGACGAGGATGGAGATACCGAGTGACTGCCAGAAGCAGAAGAACAGGATGCCCTTGACACATAAGAACTTCGGCATAGGGCTATGAAGGATAAGCACATAGAACTCACACAGAGAAGCGTGGAACAACTCACCGGAAAGGCTTCAAATCGTCGTTCACGCACATCCAGAAGATGGCGAGACAGTACAAAGCTAGGCAGATGCTGACGTTGTAAACGACACTGACATAGAGGTATCCGGAGCCTGCGCGGAGGTCTCCTTCGTTGTACTTTCCGACCGCCTTGAGTATAACTGTTGCTAGCGCGAGGATCGGCTTGAGTTGGACGTATTCTGCGTGGATAAATGAGCGTTGACACGGATACCTAGTTATATGCTACTCACGAATGACGCCCCGCTTCAGAAACAAAAATGTATGGGGGTCGCTGACGTCCACTTCCCGCCAAAACAGGTTCCCGGGAAACACTGGGTACTTGGGTGGACGTCCATGGAGTAGGATGAGCAACGACCGTTCTCCACCAAGATATGCGATGAGCAGGTCGTAAAAGCAGTAGATTACAAAAGCCTGTTTGGTAAAGTCTATCAATGCACCGCCAGAGCAAACACGAAAAGATACCACGACTTCTGGATAGATGCAAGAACCTGAAGCCGACTATGAGTGCCAAAATTCTCATGGTATGGAACGAAGAATTTGTGGCAGTTCTAGTTTGCTTCAGGATCTTGCACCCGTTCGAGGGACGTCAAGCCGGGCAGGTTTACTGTGTAAGCAGACCAAATAACATACCTCGTATATATCTCGTACAGCATCGATAAAGAATGCGGCCTCGAGGGAGAATAAGGATATGAACGACGCGATAGCGTACAGTGGCACCATGAGCATGATTCGTATAACCTGTCTGCCCAGAATATTATTGCCTTTGTATCGACCTAACAAAAATGGCTACGTACCGTTGAAGATGTGGCTTTCTGTAGTTCTTGAGATGCATTATGATAGACATCGCAGAGACGAATGTCGCGACCGCCGTGCATGCTCCAGCCACAAGGAGAATCGGGAGGGGTAGTGCGGAGCCAGAGCCATGGCCCATTTGAGGCAAAAGCCCCGTCGCCGTCAACCCAAAGCTCATCGTAGCCGTAGACGTCGCAGTCGTAGGCAAACAGACTGAGTCGTGAGCTTGAGCAGGCTGCGCGTCGGGCTGCGCAAATGGCGGGAGGAGGAAGAGGAGGAATACCAGCGCCTATTCATGACGCAGTATCTGTGTCGTAATTCTACGCAATAAGTAAGGCTTATTTTTTCTGATAAGCCTTGTAACCACTCCCTTATAGAGACTTAGCTGGCACTAACGCGCCCATAACCGACGTCGCGCTCCTGAATCCCCCCACCATCTGCAACAATGCTCCCTCGTCTAGCAACACGCGTTTTTCCTCGCGCGTACGCGTCTTTGACCTCGGGGCTCCTCGCCGCTGCGCACGCGCGCCAGCAAGTCGCCACACGGACCTTTCTGACGACCGCAACCGTCGCGACACCAGCGACTAAGGCGACCAAAGCAACCAAGGCGACTAAGGCGACTAAGGCGACCAAGGCGACTAAGGCGACTAAGGCGTCCGAGACTTCCGAGGCAGATGCCGCACCGAAGAAGAAGAGACGCTCTTCTGCTGAAGTAAAGGCTGACAAGAAAGCCAAGGACGCTGCGAAGGCGAAGGCTGCGAAAGCGAAAGCAAAGGCTGCCAGGATTCTGGCCGACCCTCAGACGCGCTTCAAGGCCCCCCTGAAGTGTTCGTCTCGTCCCTCTTTGTTATCTCGGCCACGTATTGATTCTTAGTACGCACACGTCTCTCATTTGACAGCGATCTCCATCAAGCGGAGCGAGAAGCCCCCCAAGCATCCGACGAACGCGTACAACATCTTCGTGAAGGAGAACTTTGCCAACACCCGTGCGGAGACGAAGTCCGATGGAGAGGGTCCCTACGGCCCGGTCTTCATTGGGGTCAGTAAACAGATCTCAGAGCGCTGGAACAATATGAGTGCAGAAGAGAAGAAGGTAAGCATGTCACTTATATCCGCCACAAGTTCTATTCCACGATGGGGTACGAGGCTAGAGATGAGCTGCAAATCTGCCTGTCATTATGCTGGATTTTGTCTGAGACGACATACTAACTGTATCTCTTCGCTATCGTAACAGCCGTATTACGACCAGGCGCAGCAGCGCAAGGATCAATACGACGCTGATATCGCGGAGTGGTACAAGACCACCGACCCGCGCATCGTCGCAGCTGTCCGTGCGCAGAAGATGCGCATGCCGCCGACCCCCGCGGAGCTCAAGCGTCCTCTGGCGCCGTACATCAAGTGCGTGTTCCATACCTTCCGGCGTGCACACCGTATTGACCACACCGCCGTGCGACAGGTTCCACACGGAGAAGATAAGCTCGATTGAGGTGCCCGCGGGTTTGCCCAATTCCGAGGCGATCGCCTACCGCGGCAAGCTCATGGGCGAGCTCTGGCGAGCTCTGCCCGAAGAGGAGAAGAAGGTATGTCCTGCATTCTTGTCTAGATGCGAACTGCACTGACGCCTCCCCAGCGCCGCAAGGACGAGTTCACGAAAGAGTTGGAGGAATATCATGAACGGGTGAAGAAGCTGCAGGAGGCCCCGACGGCCTAAGCTCGAGCAGCATTCACCTATCTTCTTTTACATCTTAAATCGACCTGTATATCTTATACCTTCATTCTTACCTCTCCGACGGCGCTCTCTTTGGTCGCATACAAGGCGATCAGCCTCTCCTTAACACCCCCCTTTGACCCATCGCTACATTCGTAATTGCTAGTAGCTTGTACATTGCTTCGACGGTATAATTGTCAGTCCATTTGACCGGTTTCAAGACATTCACACCGAGAGTTGACGAGTGTTTTATCATTGATATGAACTCGAAACTCCTATTCGTACAACAGCTGCAGCTTCATTCAGTAGCACGGCGCATTCTTCAACGCCTCGACAGCCTTCTGCAACGTCTCCGTCGCCCACTGCACCTTCTCATTCTCGCCATTCCCGTCCTTCCCCGCCTGCAGCAAAACAACCAGCGACAGGAACACAGTGTACCACAGCCGCTTCGTCTTCTGCCGCGCGAACACGATGAGCGGCCCGCCATAGCCCTCCACAAACGCCGCGCTCGGGTCCAACAGCAACGTCTCCAGGAGCGGGTCGCCCCACAGCGCATGCGACACCGGCACAAACGACGTCACCGCAACCTCCGCGTCCTCTCCCCCAGGCGCACCCGTCTCAAGGTCGAAGTCCACGAGCACCGCGTCCGCGCTGCCGGTGAAGGACACGAGCGACGGCACCTCGCAATCGTCGAAGAGGAAGAAGCCGATCGCGCGCGAGAGGGCGCGGCGGAGGTCCTCGTACGGGAGCGCGATGCCCGCGGCGTGCGCGTCCTCGAGTAGGCCTTCTAGTAGCGGCGTGAACGCTTCTTGCCAGCTGTAGAGCTCGTCCTTTTCTTGAGTGGGGAGTCCGAACCAGTCGTTTTGGACGCGCTCGTGTAGCTGCTTGAGGTACGCGCCGGTGCGGAGGTCGAGCAAGGCTGCTTGGCGGGCGGAGAGTTTGCCTGAGGCACGCACGGCGGAGAGAGGTACGCCACGAGGTTGGGAGAGGAGAAGGTAGGGGAATGGTACGAGGTTTTGGGAAACATCGAGAGTATGTACAGTCGGGTGAGGGATGTCCGTCTGCGACGAAAGGAGGTTCAAAAGGGTGTGTTCTGTTGCAAGGGAGTTGGGCACATAGGTGACGGAAGTTGTGGATGTAGAGGGCGTCGCTTTGAGGAGATAAGATGTCCCGTCGTCGATTCTGACCGCATACACTCGCGTAGGTGTGAACGCACTGAATGTATCGTTTCAGTTCTCTTGTTGCCGTGTGGTATCTTGCGCATATACGCACTCGAAACCTGCGCTGGGGAAAGTCTTGAATTCCTCGATGGCAGTAGATCCACCGCGATGCCGATCCAAAATCCGCTGCACGTCGTCCAATGTTACGTCTGCCATGAGTACGCGCAATATGAGTGTGGGGTGCAAAGGAGGGGCGCGGATGAGCGCCTAGATGCGATAACGCACCTCACGCGACGTTGACGCGACGCGCCTATATCTGCATGTGCACCGTCGGCGTCGGGGGGCCCTGCGCGCCCGGCGTGCCCTCGGGAGTGTGCTCGCCATTCCCAAGGACCTCCTCGAGCTCTTCCTCCTCTTCGCTGTCGTTGCTCTGTCGTCCGCTCGGCGTCTCCGAGCCGCCCTCCTCGCTCGGGTCGGCACCAGTGGACAACCCTTCCTGAGCATCGCGCGGGTCCCAATCGAGCTCCTCGGGCTCCTCCTGCTCGACCTCGACGCGTGCCTTCCAGTCGTACTTCTCGCGGAGTAGGGTGACGGCGCGTGTTGCGCGCTCTACGCGTTGGTCGTGCTCAACACGGATTTGCTCGCATTCCCTCAGCACATCTTCGTATTCGACAGGTTTTCCGCCTGGGCGCGGCGCATGCCCGAGGACGCCGAGCGAGCCCTTGGTCTCCATATGTTCTGCGAGGTGGCGCACGGTCTCGTTCTCGACGCGCAGGACGTCCGTCGTCTGCATGTTGCGGAGGAGCGGGATGATGTCGTTATCGAGCTGCGTGTCCGTAAGCGGGACACGCGGGTACAGCGCGATCTTCTCATACGGGTTGCCCTGCGCGTTCGTGCCCGCCTGGTGCGCCGCGAGGAGGGACATGGATATGCTGTGGGACTGGGAGAGCAGGATGTTGTACTTCGAGAGTATGTCGGGCCACGCGGGCATTACTGCTTGTCCGCCCATCTCCACCGTTCGTTGCAGGAGCTGGATAGACTCGATGATCTGGTTCGCTTTGAACTTGAGAGACTCCAGTTGAGAAACGGGGAGAGCCTGGAGGTCGAACGGCAGACCAGCTCTTTCGGAAAGCTGCAAGCCAGGAAGCGATGGGTAGCTGTTGGACGAGGAAGCCATTCGACTAAAAGTTACGAGGCGAGCGACCGCAGTGAAGACGAAGTCGGTGGGTGTACGTTGTGGCAGGAGGTTAAGAGAGCTCAAGGAGGAGCGCGTCGAGCCGGGGGAGCGTCTAGCGAACCGATCATTAGGCGCTTGTGGAAAGTGGCACTGGCTTGGGCGCGTGATTGTACCCATCTCTTCCGACCCGAGAGGGAGAGGTAGCGCGGCCCAATTCAAGCTTACTTGCTACCACCATCTTCTGTGCTCGAAGTTCGTACTGACCATCGCAGCCTGTGGGAGCAGGAAATAACGAGTGCAATCATCCGACAGACGTAGCGGTACGCTGATCCCACAGAACACACATCGGCTACCCCACCTCGGGCTTAGGAGTCACACTATGGCTGCACCTCGCAGACCTACCGTAGAAGAAGAGGATCTAGACGATTTGGATGGTATGTCCCAACCCATACCGATATGTCTCTATACATCCCGACTCACACGACCCAGATGTCCTGGAACAGTTCAGCGCGCCACCACCAAAGCCCGCAGCCAAACCCGCCCCCGCCCCCGCATCCACCTCCTCATCACAAACGCCAATCGCCACGGATGCGCAGCCCAGCGCCCCAAAAGCCGTCGATCCATTCGGGCTCGGGGGCCTAGACGCGGACTTCGCGGCGGAGCTCACGCGGGGCATGGAGTCCCTGTTCAAGGACATAGCGGGCGGCGCGGGGCTGGACGGCATCCCGGACCTGTCGGAGGCGGAGGACGGCACGACGGACGAGGAGCGCGCGAAGGCGTTCAAGGCGGCGTGGGAGGCGATGCTCGTGGAGGGCATGGATGGCGCGATGTCGGCGGAGGACGTCGGGTTGGACAAGGGGAAGGCCGCGGAGGGCGCTGCGCCGGGTGTGGGTGCGCCGACGGACTCGTTCCAGGAGAATATCCGGAAAGCTATGGAGCGGATGAAGGAGAGCGATCGGAAGGTATGCCTTGTCTTTGACCGCACAACACCTTCCCGCCGCGTTGGGTACTGACGTGATTACCGTAGGCGGATGAAGCCACCTCGAGTGGGGACGGCCTGGACGACATCTTCAGTAAACTCGGGGACGGGGTCAACGGCATGGAGTCGGAAGAGGAGCTCCAGGGCCTTCTGGAGAACATGATGTCCCAGCTCATGAGCAAGGCGGTCCTATATGAGCCGCTGAAGGAGCTGAGCGACAAGGTATGTGGGGTGTCACCTCGACAGTAACGCGACGCTTACACGGTTACACCCAGTTCCCCTCATACCTGAAGGATAATGCAGCGACGCTCAGCGACGAAGACAAGACACGCTTCGCCGCACAGTCCAAGGTGGTCGCCCAGATCGTGGCAACGTTCGAGGACCCGAGCTATACAGAAGACGACCCGGTAAAGGGACTGAAGATCGTGGAGCTCATGCAAGAGGTGTGTGTAGCCTCTATCTATGCAGCGGATCTCATAGTCTAACTAATGCATGTGGCGTAGATGCAAGAGCACGGCTCGCCTCCCGCCGAGATAATGGGGCCTCTTCCCCCGGGGTTCGACCTCGGGGCGGATGGGCTACCGAAGGTACCAGAGGGGTGTACTATTGCGTGAACCGAGGCGTCGCGGCGATACCCGAGCAACTACGAACCGGCAGACATCGTGTATGATTGGTGTAGGAACAACAGTACAGCGAACATGGCTAATGCTTCCCATCCACGCCTACCGTCCGACGGTACCTGAGGCCTGCATCATTGAGCGTACGTGCGCGAACGCCGAGATACCAGTCAGCCGCAGGCATGACTGCACGTGCAGCGTTACACATCCTCGCAGCCGGAGCAGCAAATACACCCGACCCACATCGTCCCACTGCATCTGTGCAACATACCGTGCATGTGAGTAGTTTGCTCAGCCGCTGAGTCAAACGTCATGCCACTTTCACGGTATTCGTGCGGTATGTTCCTCTGCTCCGCATGCGAGCTTCGGCACCCCGCATGCAATCTAAGAAGTGTCGATATCGAGCCTGTTCATGAGGTCTCTGTCCGAGGACGTGGTCAG